TTTATAATAACTGCTTGGAATATCTTGAAGAATGGACAATTTGAGGATATTAAATATTTTCATTGGGTGACATTAAAAAAGGAGGGAATATGTGGAAAAATCTTTTTAATATATTAGTAACCATTTTCAGAAAAATAATATTTGCAAAAATGATGTTTTTGACGAAGTGTCATTGGTAAAAAGATATGTTACTGATGAAAAAATTAAATGTTTGTTGTCTGCAAATGTGGAACAGACAAAAAAATGGACGGAGTTATTCCTTCATTTTAAACAGAATAATATTTCTTACGAAAATATTTTGAAAAATGTAGAATACACGCTTTCCCTTCCAGGAACAAATGCAGCAACAGAACGTGTTTTTTCTAGTATCAATAAAATATGGACAATTGAAAAAATGCAGTTGAACATTAAAACTTTAAAATCTGTATTATGCGTAAAATATAATTTGACCAATTCATGTGAGAAATCACAACGTTTTAATAAATGATCTGATTCTATTGCAAAGCATTCACTCAGATAAAAAATATGACCATGAAAGAAATCATAATTTTCTTTTAATGCAATTTTAAAAATTAATTAAAAAACATAATATTCAAATTATTGTTTTTTTACAAACATTTTTATAGAGTTACCATAGTTAATAATAAATATATTTTTGCAAATTTTGGTATATTATAGACAATTATATGAATGTATATAATAAAATATATTTTTTTGAATTATTGGTCTTTCATAACTAAATTACAATTTTCATTTCATTCCATTTGTCCCGCTTTGTCTCATTGAAAATGTGGTCACTTTACTTTTGAAGGATAACTGGGAGGAGGGTACTCGGTTGCCGAATCCTGGCAGATTATCATCCACTAACTTTTAGTTCAGAAACCATTTGTAAAGTCTTTTAGAATTTTTTGAATCTGGAGACAAAAAATTCACGATACCCTTGTTAGGACTTGACCTCCAGACCTCTTGATTATGCATTGAGCATGCTTCCAGTTACACAATGATTGGATTGGATTGGATTGGATTATTCAGTTATGGCAAAGCACATGAGGGCTATCTGCCTAAAGGGAGGGACGCCTTTGTGGAGGACTTTCTAAGGGAAACTGGCCCGTATATACATTGCACATAGGGAAAACCACGGAAACGCCATGCAGCCAGCCCGTTCGCGGGATTCGAACCTTGGACTGAACTACCCCAGTTACACAATGAAGGCATGCTGAAAGGAGGGAAAAAGTACCTTATACCAGAATCACGAATGTCCTAATGATTCTGGATCTCAGACTTTGTGCTGTTTTTACTTCAATTTTAAATGTTATTTTACTTGTGTAGAATTCATATTTATGAATTAAACTTCACCAGAATTTTTTTTTGTGTTTTTTCTTTTTATGGCACTTATGTATTATCCTGTCAACCATGAAAGCTGGCTATCATTGAACCATTCAAATTGAGGGAGATTCTACTATAGTTGTGTTAATTGTTCCTGGAGAATTTGAAAACACTGGCACCTTTTTATTTCATAAACTATCAATATTCAACCTGCTCTGTTTTTTCTCTCTTCCATAAAAAGGCTTTTGTTGATGCAGTACAAAGTCCATAATCCTGACTTGTCAGGACTTCTGGCGATTCCAGATTAGGGGTTTTTCTGGATTATAGATCATCAATTTAAATCTGGTAAGATGGCATGCAGAAATTATACAGTTAAAATTATGAAACCGTAATTTATGAAATAAAGAGCAATTATGAAGTAAAGGGTATCAAAATTTACAAAAATAAAACTTAAGATTTGTTTGTTTACTTTATTAAACATTTTTTTCAATGTAAGTTGTTTCGTTTCTTTGTGCTATTACTTTCTCTTTTTTTCCCTTCATTCCACCAAGTCCTGTAATTGCTGGTCAAGAATACTGACTAACTTGTCAATCGAAATTTTTTGTTTTCAATAACCTCTCAGTCACTTTTCTCACCATTGGAAGCATGCATTAAATGCGCATGTGTAAAGTATACAAAAAGTTCGTGGCTTTGAGGTCCGGATTATAGGTCATTCCGGATAATGGATGTCCAGATTATAGATTTTGTACTGTATCTGTTATTTGGTTTGGCCACCCGATTTAACTGGAAATTCTGATTAAAACACTATGAATGCAAATTCCCAAAGATGCTTATTCCAGTCTATTGCTGTTTTGTCAACCATATTATGTCCATTAATATTCACTTTTTTTGGTGGTAGGATTCCCATAACTTTGAAAATAATCTACTGCTTACTGTCCTGTAAAAGAAAGGTCCTAAATTTTTATCTCTCTTTTTTTTTTTTTTTTTTTTTTTCCAAAATGCAAGATAAAAGTATAACAATAGCAGTTAATTTATATCCTTATTCACAAAAACAGTATGTGGAATATTGAGAATCAGCTAGGATTACATTAGACAAAAGCGAGATGTTTCCTCATGTTTATCAGCAAGTGGCTCTGAATCACACTGCTTGATGACAGTTTCACAGTTAATGGCATAATACATCAGTACCCTTTTTTTAAATTTTATTTTCAATAAAGCTAAATTTTCTGTAATTTTCTTTCAGAACTTTATGATTATCTACACATCATGAGAAATCTCCAGTTCATTGCCTTCTTTCCAAATGGCAGGAAATATTTGTTTGTTTTTATGGTTCATAGGTTCTGTCAATAAATAATACTAAACAGAAGCATTTTAAAAACAGCACCTTTACTATTAGTTATGACTCAAAAATGACCTTGGGGGCAGAAAACACTGATTAGCAAAATAGTGGCTAAATGTAAAGGATGTAAATCTGTAAGTACTCAAACAAACAAGTACTATATGCATACAGTGATTGGATGTTGTTACATAAATAAGAATCATATATCACAAATATTAAATACACTCATGTCCATAAATTAAGGATAATGCAAAATCAGGCAAAGAAAGAGTTAGAAGCAAAACAAATTTGACTTATTTGTAAAGCTTATTTATTAAACAAAAGGTAAAGAGCAAAAAAAAGATGCTATATGTTTGATATTATTAAAAAAAATTAGCGATTTTTTCTCCCTGGAGCAAATTACAAAAAAAAAAACCTATTTACAAAAAACAATATTACATGGTTGATATGATTGTTGATACACTGTATGTCTCCCAGACGATGCAATACAGTCCATACAACGCCTAGGCATGCTGAGTATCAAATTATCGATCTGATCTTGGGGATATTATACCACTCAAAAAGCAATGCTCTCCGAAGTTCCGGTAGACATGTAGGAGGGGGTTGACGGCTGCAACTCATCGGCCAAGCATGTCCCACACATGCTGTACTGGATTCAAGTCCGGTGAGAATGCTGGCCAGTCCATACGGGTGATATCCTCCGATTGAAGGCATTCGCTTACGGTGTTTGACGACTGGCATTGTCATCCATAAACACAAACTGTGCGCCCATGGCGCCCCGAAACAAACGTACATGTTGTTCCAGAGTGACGTCCCAATAGATTTGGCTTGTTATGGTTCCAATTTGAACATGCAGGTCAGTTCTGAAACCCAGAATAATTCCACCCCAAACAAGCACTCCTGCAGCATCGTAATGGTGTCATTCAATGATGTTTTCTTGGTGGTAATGGTTACCTGGAGCTCTCCATATGAAAGTCCGGCAAGAATCAGACTGCAAGCTAAACCTGGACTCGTTGGGGAACATCACACAAGCCCACTGTTGCGGTGTCCACAATGCATGCTCTCTACTCCAGGCTACCGCAGGTGACAGTGAATTGCAGTAAGTGGAACGCATCTGACAGGTCTACGAGCATATAGACCAATCTGCCCTAAGCGTCTGTACACGGTCTGCCTTGAAATTGTCGTACCAGTGGCTAAAGAGAGCTGACAAGACAGATCTGAGGCTGAGGCCATTTAGCAGTAACTGCCAAATAGCAGTCCTCATTCGGCATTGTAACTCTGAGGCGACCTGTGCTGTAATGTCTACTCACATTACCATCATCTTAGAATCGTTGCCAAAGCCTGGGAATGACACTCTGGGCAAGTCCAGGTTTTGTCTGATACTTCCAGTTTGGTACGCCCACATTCCAGACGACGGCTGATAATTCTACCATGTAAAAAATCGTCCAATGCGTCCTTTGTGTCATAACTATTCGGTTATTGCACTGAAATGCTTATAAAGCGCCTGCGAACAATTTTACTTCTTTGCCTGTATTCCTTATATATCACTCTCTTACACTCTCGTCGTTCAGCGGCCGAGCGGTAAAGACGCTGAACACTGGTAGTTCGGTCTGAGGTTCGAATCCCGCGAACGGGCTGGCTGCATGGGCGTTTTCGTGGTTTTCCCCATGTGTAACGTGTATACGAGCCAGTTTCCCTTAGAAAGTCCTCCACGAAAGGCATCCCCCCCTTTAGGCAGATAGCCCTCGTGTGCTTTGCCATAATTAAATACACCAACTTACACTCTCGTCATTGTGACGTACCATCGGTGTCATCCTGATTACTTCCTGAAATTTGCATATGATTCTTGAAGATGTGTGTAGTGATTTTACTGGTGATATATTTATTTTAGAGTTCGATTTCCGCATAACTCTGAATTATCCTTAATTTATGGACATGAGTGTATATTAAAAGATGATTCTACTGATTGTTGAAACCAGGGATTTAGATAATCAGAAAGTACCTTTCTTTAATTAAAAAGAAAGTTGCTTTGAAACTTCTGCATTCATTTTGAAATTCTAAATTTTAAAATTGATGAACTCCAAGATAAATTAAAAAAATATCTTTACTACTGAATTTCTTGATGCATACAATTTTTAAGAATTTAAATCTTTCACAATTCTTATGTGTATTTTTCTTCCTAAAATCATATGTCCTGACTTAACAAGCTATCTGGCCTGCAATGGTTTGTTATTTATAGTTTCATTTTGAACTGATATGCAGTAATATTAGTCTTTTGGTTTTTTCTTTGTGTATGAGATCTAAATAATTAATTTTGTTGTTTTTTTAATTTCAGTATTCTGAATTTAAAATCACATTCAAGTTTCTATCAAAAATGGCTTTTAGATATGCATTTTCTTTCTTCTGTGCCATGTTCATAGTTTCATATTGTGAAGAAGATTCCAAAATAATATATATGCAAATAATTCATAACAGTTTGTGTAAATGTGAAAATCTGATATCAGATGAGGTTTTCATGTGCCGAGATTTATCTGCCGGTACCGAAACAAAATTGACATGCATAGGTGAGGATTCAGTTAATGCTGCTGCTGAAGCTGTAAAATCATTCAAGCATTTACAGATTTTGGATGTAAGTGTCTGCAATGGTACTTATGACAGAATTCAGCAGAAAGATCTCCAACATTTTTCAAATATCACAATCTTAAGTCTTGCTGATAACAAGATATCAATGATTGAGAAAGAAGCTTTCATTGAACAGAAAAATTTAAAAGTTTTAGACTTATCTGATAATTATATATCTGTTCTTCAAGATCATATATTTGAGCACCTAGTGTATCTTCAGAACCTTAGTGTTTCAAACAATAGAATCAGTGTCATTGAATTTAAAGCTTTTTATAACCTCCACAATCTTGTAGTTCTTGATCTGTCTGGTAATAATCTTCAGTCTGTCGATAGTGACTGGTTTCGAGGTATGGAAAATCTACAGATTCTATTACTGAATTATAATGAAATAACTTCCATTCAGCATAATAGTTTTCATCATTTAGCACATTTGCAAAAGTTAGATTTATCATTTAACAGTCTGAAGCAGATACCAGTTCGGTCATTTTATCATCTTAAGAATCTCAAGTTTCTATCTTTGGCAATGAATGAACTCAAGACATTGAATGAAAGTACTTTTAAAAGCAATAATATGCTTGAAAAAGTAAATCTTACTGGTAAGATTTAGCTTTTTACTTTTTAAATTTTAATGTTTGATTTATGATTTATTGATTTATATTTTGTGAAAAGCAGTGTATTTTTATATATTCAGGTATCACAGAATTTTTAACAGATATTTGTACTAATGTAAAAACTGAATGTTTGAAAAATATAAGGTAATAACGATGTACTTTCGCATTACAAGTAAACCATAATTCAATGTCATTCTGTGTCAATATTGAGACCCTTAATTACTTGTTGATACTTAGTCACAATTTACTCGTACTGTTTTTTTAATTATTATATAACGCTTTTATTATCAAAACTTTATAGTCTTGTTATAACATAAGTTTGGTTAACTGGTTAAAAGTTAAGAAATGTAGTTTGAATCCTTATCCAAGAATTTTTGGCTACATTTAAGTTTATGGTTCTTTGCCCATACTCTGTATTATATAAATGGTATATTTGTGGGTGGGGATTGTTTCACATTACAATACATATATTGACAAATGTTTAAACTTTTCAATGAATATCCAGAAGACAAGTATTTCTTAAAATGGGTATTTGCATAATTAAGAATAGACTGTTACTAGTTAAATAAAATATAACAAACCAATAAAAACATCGTTTGTTTTTGTTTATCATATTAAAATTTATTTGAATATCCTAGAACTCATCACTAAAACTTCTACTTAACTTTTTGGCAAAGTAAAATGGTCTTTTTCAAGATTAAATATAATAGTTTGGGATTGAAACTTTGTCTTCATTTATGCTCTTATATTTCTGTAACTAATTACTTTTAAGTAGCAAAACTAATGAATTCTCTACTTGACATCTTATTCATCAGTTTGTGCATGCAGATGTACATGCCGCATATCAAGTTTATCATATGTTTTGTTCAAAATACTTTTATTTCTTATTTAAACTTCACAGATGTATCATTAAATATTTCCATTTATTGGATTCTTATCAAAATGAACAATAATTAATTACTTGATGCTGTATTCAACCATACAACTGATAAGTGTTAGCATTACAAAAGACATAAGATCTGTCTTTCATGCTGCCTGGTCAGGGGCGTAGCTAGAGGGAGGCAAGGGGGGGCATCTGTCCCCGGGCGCGGAATCCCAGGGGCGCCAAACTGATGTTACGACATTTTAGAATTAAATGTTTTCCATCCTTGGCAAGCAATAGGGGGCATGAAATCTTCAGTTGTCCCTGGGTGCTGAAAACCCTAGCTACGACTCTGTGCCTGGTAAATAGTTAATTTCTAACATTGCCAACGGATGTGGCATTAAGAGCTTGCTTTAATATATTTTCTAAATTATAAGTTGTAGTTTGACAAACTGGGCATTTTAAAAACAATAAATGTGCTTCTTAATAACTTGTATCTTTACTTTAATTATATTAGTTAATTTAATAGTTAATTTTTTATTATTTTTTTTTTATTTTTTTATTATCCTTTTGGGATACTGTAACTCAAAAAAAAAAAAAAAGTGGTGTCTTGCTCTAGGTTGTTTGTTTTTTTAGGTGACATTTTTTTTGTTTTGTTTTCTTTTTTTTCTTGCCAATTTATAGCATGCTATAATTTAAAAATAGCATTTTTTTGGCACCATCTAATAAATAAATAAATAAATAAATAAAAATAGTAGATTGCATACAATATGATTACCAAAAATACTTCATACTGTAAAGCAAACACTTTTTAAAAGTAGAAAATAGTTCTGTATTGATGTATATGCAATCTACTACTTTTGCAGTCATATCCTACGATCATTGATTTGTAATTCACCAAAAGGACTTGGTTAAAATAAGCTTGGCGTTAAGCGATTTTATTTTTAGTCTGTGATAGTAATTCTTTTTTTTATTATTTTATAACAAACATTTGCTTTTACACAGGGTTGCTTTTGCACAATAATTAGAAGTTGGCTGTATACTCAGTTCAATAATGTATATCAAATACATATTTTATTTAAACTAATGTTCACCTCCTTTTTTTTAAGGTAATTTATGGGTATGTGACGAGAAATTGCTTCCAATGAATGAATGGTTGAAGAAATATGAAGCATACAAAGAAGGAGCATTATGCATTGAACCTCCAGAATTACATAACTATACAGTGCAATATGGTCTTGAAATTTTAACTATGGAACTAAAAATCAAAGAAAATCCCATTTGTAAAAAAAATATGTGTAACTGCACTATTTCTAAAGATAAACTTGTCGTCACTGTAGATTGCAGTAACAGAGGGCTTGTTAGATTACCAGAGGTTTTGCCATATAAAACTAAAATGTTAAACCTCTCTAACAATGATATAAAATCTTTAACTACTGATCATATAGATGCTGTTTTGTGGTCAGATGTATCCTTTTTATATCTGAACAATAATGTCATAGATTCACTGAAAGGTCTGGAAGGTACTTGGCTGTTGAAAAATTTGGTAGCTCTTCATCTCTCAAATAACCAATTGACAGAGATACCAATACATATTTTGGAGCAATTTCGTGGGGGTTTACTTGATGAGTTATATCTCTCAGGTAATCCATGGAATTGTGATTGTAATACAGTTCGTTTTCAAACATGGTTGCAGGATAATTATAGAGCTGTTCGTAATTTTGATGGAATTACTTGTTCAACTGATAGTGGCATATATGCAGGGCTAGCAATTTATAAATTAAAAAAGTCTCAGTTATGCCCACAGCAGGTGCAATTGGTAAATTACCTAGACATTTTGAATAGCTTGATGGCTATTGCTATAATTATTATAATAGTGAAATTGTCATATGATTACTGGTTGCAAAAACGAACAGGCAAACTACCACGTTTTTTCAGTTTGAATTTAATGTAAAATGATATTTAAATTACTTTGAAACCAAGCACAAGGGAGTGGATGCTAAGGTCTGAGAAAATATAAGTTTTAATATTTTACATTTGTTGCTAGTATACAAAGCTTATAAAATGAAAATGAAAATCATCATCTGTAGTTTTACATATCCTATAAAACATTCTATTTATATATGTGATGTAAAATACTTTTAGATGCATAAAAACTTCTTCATGTGTATTAGTACAAAACTGACAAATTATGATCGAATTATACACAAAATTTAACTTTGTAAGTAAATTCAGTGGAATTTTTGTGCTTTAAAACAAATGGTGCCAAACTCAGTTCTTCCAATAACTGGATGCAAGGCTATAATGAAAGGCTTGCATGATAACCTTTTCAGTTATTTATCATATGTAATTATTTGCTATAAAAACAACGTGTGTTTTCGGTAAATAAAATTTGAAAAATAGTTTAGCCATAAACTGTAAATAATAAATGCAGAATTAAAGTTTGCTTTCACATTAATTAGAATAAAAATTTAACATTTACATTATATTGGTTAAAGATCCATTCTTATTATTTCCATTATTGTATAATATAGTTAGAAATGGTGTGTCATTCATGAAATTATAATTCTCTATGCAAATGTCAGTTGTCTCATTCTGATGCTGATAAGTTAAGTCATTAAAATGCAGATTGTTGGTATGCATTGAAACTTAGCAATATGCTTATGTAAAAAATCATTAAAGGAAAAGTTGCCATTCTAAACAATTTTTGTTAATTCTCTATGCAAATGTCAGTTGTCTCATTCTGATGCTGATAAGTTAAGTCATTAAAATGCAGATTGTTGGCATGCATTGAAACTTAGCAATATGCTTATGTAAAAAATCATTAAAAGAAAGGTTGCCGTTCTAAACAATTTTCGTTTTGTGGCACAGTACTAGTATAGTGTCGATGTAGGTTTTATCTTTATGTACATATTAAACATTTTAAATTTTTTACTGACTAAATAATATCACTTACTTGAAAATTATGTACAGGTCTATAATTTAAATAGATCATGAATCTGATAAATTTGTTGCAATGTTGTTGTAAAATAATGGAGAAAACTTGTGATACATTACCCATTCTGATAAATATTCATGTGGAAAATTAATATTTTAAAACCTGAATTTAATTCTGTGTTTCATTTTTAATGATTCCATTCTAATTATTTGATATCATTTGTGATAATTTATTTGCAAATAAATCATGCGATGAATTGAAGTCTGCTGGTATGAAAATCATGGATGAAAGTATTTCAAAAAGCTTTTCTGTAAGGGATGCAGAATCTGATGAGCTTTTTAAAAACTTAATCACCACATGGAGCAGCAGCTGCATAGTTTGGCACTCAAATATGACTTAAATTGGTTAATAACAGTACTTAATTATGAAATGAATGGCTTTTTAGATTCTGGTCTTTAAAATATGTACTTAAACTGCTAGTTTAGCCATTTTCATCCACATTCATATATACTGGTCTGATATATTAAGTTTATATTTTTTCTCTTTAATTTCTCTTTATTTTTTTAAGAATAAGGATTTATAAAGTGTTTTCTCACATTTTTAATTTAACTGACTCCACTAGACTAAACTGTGTAATTTGAAACATATAATTTTCCTCCATTGTTTGGTAGCAGCTATGAACTTTCATCATTTTAGAATCTAAATATACAATGGCTGTCTTCAAAAGAAGAATGATTATGGATTCTCTAGTGGAAACTATATTGCATTTATATGAAGGAAAATATGAAAATATCTATTCCTGCTATGTCTTCAATCACAAATAAGTTGTACTTGTTGAATATTCTAATATTCCAATGTCTGCCCCTTGGAATAAAAGCTGAATTAAGTTTCTATTCTTGGAATAGCGACAGCCATTTTATGTTTGGTATGATCCAAATAATTGCTTAATAAATTAAATAGTATGTTTAAGAAATATTAAATGGCCATGCTAAATTAAATATTTTGTCTTTATGTAAATTACATAATTCACAATTTTTTAATTTAAATCCACATAGTAAAAGATACATTGCAAGAATGTCATTGTCACTGCTTATGTCTGAAATTAAGATAAAAGATACACGGTCTGCTGTCAAAGATTTTATGTTGGAAATGTTATACCATTACATTAATCCTTTTTATCACTACTTTTTTGTTTGCTTGTTTTTGCTTTATATAAATTGTTATGAAATGCAATTAATTTCATTTCAGCACTTTAAACTCAGCCAATGACTAATTGTTAAATTTACATGTTATCTTCAAATACATATTATTCTACAAATCTCTCTATAATTTATCCTCTCACAGTGCTCGAGAAGAGGGGGAAAAAAAAGAAGTTTTATTTGCTTTATTTAGTTCATGTAGTAAAACCCTGCTTAATTGAAACAATGCAAGAAAATGACAATCAGTAAATTTGAAAATTAGTCATCTTCATTTATTTTTAAAATAAAGTTTTATTCATTATTTCATTATATAGAGTTAGTTATATACTTTGCAATTTATAATATATGGATTTACGTCTCAGTGTTTGTGCATCAGTACTTCTCTGAAATTTGTTTTTATTATGTATATATACGTCAGTAATTTACTTTTAAATTCCCCTTAATAATAAAAATGTATGATAAAGAAATTAAATTAATGTATATGTAATCTATTTCTAAAAGAAAAATTATGCTAAATTTGTGTCTATAGAATGAGTAATTTTAAAATTGTATAGTAGAGCTCAGCTAAACAAAAAAGGGCTACAAAACAAATGTCATTAGAATCCACAAATGAGAAAACAGTCAAAAATGTGAAAGCTTGATAATTTGTCTAGAATTCAATATTTCAAACATAATCAGTTCCTTTGGCTGACAACTTGAGACTTTTTCCAGGTAATGCAAATGGAAGCTATTTATACTGAAAGTTCTCCACAAAGGCTTTTTTCCTTTAAAAATATAATCCTGAAGTGGTTTTTTTTTTTTTTTTTTTTTTTTTTTTTTTTTTTCCTTTTTTTTTTTTTTTTTTTTTTTTTTTTTTTTTTTTTTTTTTTTTTTTTTTTTTTTTTTTTTTTTTTTTTTTTTTTTTTTTTTTTTTTTTTTCCTTTATAATTAACAAATTTGGAAAATTAGTGATAAGATGTTTTCTTAGCATAAGACATTTTCTAATTTGCATATAGCCACAAATAAATATATTAATTTTTGATAAAATTATAAAACCTACTTTTTAAAGAATTTATAAATATTAAAACTGTTAAATAAATTATCTCTAGTTCACAATCATTGAATAGTTCTAAAATCAGAAAAATTAGAGCAGAAAATTTATATTTTTTAATGATTTCAATTTTAATATTGGCTGTTAAGTACTTAAGACATAAATTGATTCATATTAAATATTTCCGTATTTCACACTTCTTAAATATAGAAAATTTAATATATTTCTTCATTTACTTTTGCATTTCTGAATGTGATAAATATATTTCTATTCATTCCACTACTTGTATAAATATGAACTAACATTTATCTTTTATATCTTTTGTTTTGTTAATAAATATTGAATTTTATATAACTTTGTTTTCCCCAAAACCAGTATCATTTTGAAACAAACTGAAAAATTTGGAGATTTCAATTTATTGTTGTAGTAAATCTCTCATTATATAAGAAATATTGTATGGTAAGCTTGTGAAAGTTGTACCTTTTAAATATTACATAATTTCACACCAACTGCACCTCATTTGGCTAAATGAGTTACCCCTTAGTCAACCATATTGTTTATCATTGTGTTCGTCTCCTTGTAATAAATTAGGAGAATATAATTCAGTGCCTAAAATGCAAAGGATGAGTATATAACTTATGTGCTGGAGTTGACATGAAAATGAAAAAATAGCTTTGTGATCATTGTTGTAATTAATTGTATAAATAAATTAATTGAGAAATAGGAAATTTTATTATAACTATCCAATGTTAAACATAGTACGACTTAAGCTATAGGTGGTACGACTTAGAATATGTGTTTTAGAAGCGGTATTAAGTTTATGTTAATAAATTTTGTTAATCGTATCCAAGGAAGTAGACTATAGAATTTTATTGCAATAAATATCAGCAATGACAACATAAGATATTATTACTACAAATTTTTATTTTCTTTATCTTATTTCTGTGATTTATAGCTATTTTTTCTTAGGTACAACTTGCACAACCGTACACTATATCTGCCCTTATATAGACCATAAAAAATGTATTCTGTAATTAAAATTGTAAATGTACAACAAAGAATGGTTACTATATGTTTTAAAACATAGTTTTCACTCAGTAATTCATTAAAATTAGTATAAGGATTGATCATATTTATTTCTGCTAAATATTTCTAATGGCTGGCAGCTATGCTTTTTTTTTTCTAAAGTTAGATCAAATGAATTACATCAGGTGTACGTATGTGAGCGTCTGTTTTCATGTTGTATATATTAATGTTATATCTATTTTGTTAATTGTTTAAATGTTTACCTTGTTAATAAATTGTCAAAATATTAAAGAAGAAATGTGTCTTTGTATGATTAATTCCTCGGTCTATTTCTTCATAGTTGTCTTTTCAAAAATTTTAATTAATCACTTCAAACACATTTATGCTTTCTTTGTTACATCATTATCTCGTAATATTTTTAATTTAAAGGAAAGGAAAGAAATTTAGTTTGAGTTTTAATGAATAAATTTTATGCTTTTAGCTGATTTATGCAGTTTCATTTCTGAATTGTAGTTTAAAATGATTTCACGGCTAGTAATTAATTTTGATTAATTTTTGTGTATGGAATTTATTATAATTAAATTAAATTTATTCAGATCTTTTGTCTAGTTGAGAGTTGTTTAAAGGGAAAAATAGTCACATATTCTTTTTAAATCTTTGTATAATCAAAATGTAGTTATAAATATGTAGATGTGCGATGTTTTGATACACTAAACAATCAAGTATTTTTAGTATTTTTAAATGCTATCTAACTTTGAAATATTTGATTGAAAGAAGGTACTTGGGTGAAATACAATACCTGGCCTGTCCAAAATTTAACTAGTATACAACCTACCAGACTTAAACCCTTTTTTATTGTAATTCTGAGATGGGCAGCAAAGGTGAGATAGTTTTCTATATAATACTTTCCAAGTATGAATATACTTTTCTGTTACTAATAGAACTCTAGTATAAACAAACTCATAATATGCACATAAAAAATCTGATTTCACTTGTGCTGATAAATATTGTGTTTCATTTCTCAAGAAAAGAAATTTCACTGTACTTTTCTTCAGAGTTTGTTAATAATGCTATAAATAATTAAACAGATTTCAGTGTTAGTAGATATTTAAATTATCAGACATTACACTCTTATTCGTGATGAATTTAAAGGTAGCCAATGCTCAACATTCTTATCTTCGTTTTGTTAAGTTTAAAATAATCTTCTGAAGTTTATTTATTTTTTTTTTTTTCTTTTTAAATTAGTATGCTCAAAGTGCAAAACAAATAAACTTTAAATCTTTATTTTTTTTTCATACTAAATGTAGAATAATTTTAATTTCCCCCCCCCCCCCCCCATTTGTTTATTTTTATTGGTTCATTGGGTTTTAATGAGTTTCCGGCCACCGCAAATGTCGTCTGCGTAAACACGTTGGCATGTTTACTCATATTTTGTCAAACATTTTTTGGCATTTGAAAGAAAGAGACTTGCTTTAGAATACTATATTGTGAAATTTGTAAAAAAATATCATTATCATTAAGTACATGGTGTCTGAAATAGAACTATCACACTACCAGATTAGAACCATCATTTACTTCCAGTTCTTTTGCAAAAAGTCAGCTACAGAATGTCAACCAACCATGTGCATAGCTTTAGGTACTAATGTTGTATCATATGACACTGTGATGACATTACACTCCTATTTTATATATTTTCTTACTGCAAATAAAGAGAAAAAATTATGATTTAAGGTAGCCAAGGCTTTCATTCGCTCTTAGTTTTTTTACGTTTAAATAATCTTCAGAATTATTTTTTAAGTTAGTATGCTCAAAGTGCAAAAAAATAAACTTTAAATCTTTGTTATTGTTTTTTTTCCATACTAAATATAGAATTTTTAAAAATTTTTTTTTCCTGTTGTTTATTTTTTGCGTAAGCATGTTTGGCAGTTACTCTATTTTTGTCAAACAGTTTTTTTGGCATTTGAAAGAAAGAGCTTGCTTTAAGAATACTATATTGTGAAATTTGTAAAAAAAATATCGTTATCATTAAGTACAAGGTGTCTGAAATAGAACTATCACACTACCAGATTAGAACCATCATTTACTTCCAGTTCTTTTGCAAAAAGTCAGCTACAGAATGTCAACAAACCATGTGCATAGCTTTAGGTACTAATGTTGTATCATATGACACTGTGATGACATTACACTCCTATTCTTATATATTTTCTTACTGCAAAATAAAAGAGAAAAAATTATGAATTTAAAGGTAGCCAATGCTTGACATTCGCATCTTAGTTTTGTTACGTTTAAAATAATCTTCAGAAGTTATTTTTCAAAATTAGTATGCTCAAAGTGCAAAACAAATAAACTTTAAATCTTTGTTACTTGTTTTTTTCCATACTAAATATAGAATTTTTAAAATTTTTTTTCCTGTTGTTTATTTTTTGCGTAAGCATGTTTGGCATGTTTACTCATATTTTGTCAAACAGTTTTTGGCATTTGAAAGAAAGAGACTTGCTTTAGAATACTATATTGTGAAATTTGTAAAAAAAATATCGTTATCATTAAGTACAAGGTGTCTGGAATGGAACTATCACACTACCAGATTAGAAACATCATATACTTCCAGTTATGTTGCAAAAAGTCAGCTACAGAATGTCAACAAACCATATGCATAGCTTTAGGTACTAATGTTGTATCATATGACACTATGATGGTTTGGTACTGAAAGTTCAAAAACAAGGACTATGACATTTAAAAAGCAGAGCACTTTGGCCAGCCTGCAAGAACTTGTGAAATATGATCAGTATGCAGACACTCGAGAGCTTGCTAAGGAGTTAGACATTAGTGTTGTGTAAGCGTAGCAAAGCGCAACTTGACTAACAAAAAGATCCTGTTTTGTATCTGTAGGGATTGCCGTAGTATATTAAACCCAAAGAGTATTTGGAAAATAGGTAAAATCTTCGACAGTAAGATGCTAATCCGTGTTGATGCTACTATCAAAGAAAAACGTCAAACTGAATTCCAGCACAAAAAGATAATGTTCCATCAAGATAGTGCAAGACCACATGTGTCTGCATTCACTGGCTGGACTCTGTAGGGACTCGAATGCGATCTTTTTGCAGAACCCATCATATAGCCCCAACATCGCTCCTTCAGACTTTTACCTTCTTTCACACCTCCAGCTACATCTTGCTGGTGCTATCTTCCTATTCTACAAAGGATGTCTGAAATGAAGTTGATGTGTTTTTGACTTGTTGCCACCAAATTTGCAGGCTGAAGGCTTTATTACTTACAATATTAATAAATATGTACATACCTAAATTATTATACTGTAATTATAATTATTATACCTTATTTTAAAAGCAATTTAATAGAAAAGGTCATGATGACATATTTTTGTGTATAAATCAATAATTTGTATTAGGTAAGAAATTTTTGAAGATATAACTAAAATCATCATTTGTAACTAATGTTAATAATATTGCAGCAATCTCAGTGAAATTAAACATCATTTTGAAAGAAATTAAAAGCTTGGACTAATATGTTTAACCCTCTGACTGCTCAATTTGTAGACTGAAATCGCTACCAAAATTGTGCATTTTTTTCCTTTCATATTTTAAATCTATATTGAAGAATTGAAAAATGCACTTTTTCTTTCTAGAAAATATTTTTTTTATATAGATTTTTAATTTTTATCATGAGAAACTAAATTGCCAGAAAATCAATTTCAATGTTATCAACCAAAAAAAAAAAATCTTTTTTGAAATAATTTCAGTCGAATTACAGTTAATT